TTATCTTATCGCTACGAACATCATAAAGCATACCCAAATGAAATGGACGTCCCAATGTGACCATTGTGATTGGTTTTTGTTGAGCCATTATTTTCAATGACCAGTAATAAATAATTAAAAATAATAGGCGTAAAATAAGCATTGAATTTTACTTTATCCTTTTCTTATGCAACTAAAATAGAAACAAAAAAAATTTAAGTATACGATATGCAACACTACACAATGATTTGTGTCGCATGATGATAAAGAATTTCAGAACTATTGTTTCTGGAAGAGGCTACGGTCATTACTCTATCGCTCATCTTATAGAAACAATAGATACGTTTCATTAAATCTGTATAATAAAAGAAGGTTAGTAGGTTGCACATGAGACTGTGTAGATGATTTCATGTTTTCGAGTCACTCGATCCGATTCAGGAATTTTAACATTGTTTTTTCGTTGGTGGATGCCTGATCTAATCCACAGATTTGCTAGAGTCTAGATATCAGATTCTAGTGTTGAGAGTGAGTATGGGATGAGGGTGATGATTACTTCTTCATCTTTACCCTCACCCTCACATCTTAAGATGAGAGATCAGTCTATTTTTCGACTGATTTACGCTCGCCCTCACTCTTCCTTCTTTTACCCTAGGAAAATTGTTTGATTATTAACGGAGACGCCTCCGATTCTGAGGAGGACTTCTAATTTGTCGAGGCCTTTATAGCATTCATTCTGTTTAAAACATATTCTGACTCTCGCTGAAATAGTGTTGTTGAAGCAAAACTGGAGTCAGAAAAGTGCTTCATATCTATGAATGCTTTCTTTGACGAGGCATCTCAATATAAATTCCATCAATTGACGTCCAAACAACTATCAGGATTTACACCAAAAGCAGAGAAAAGCATCTGGAAAAAATAAATACGAAAAGATGTGATATTGGTTGAGTACTTATATTTATCAAATAATTCGACTTAATACTTGACAATGTAAAATATAGAAATATGTTTTTGCTTATATTTACACAAAAACAATATTTCCAATATACATAAATGACGTGAGACATACGAAATTATACCCAAACTCAAATTGTTTAGTGAGTTCAGGTACTAGACTCACACCGAACCCACAATTATTAGAACAAACTTAAACCCAACTCCTACATGGCCTGGATTTGGTAGATTTCTAATTAGTATCGCAGGTACTAATAAATATTGATATTGAATTATTGAACTTATCTAATGTTCTTTATATTTTTTTCTATTCACTCGACTACGATGAATGTTGATTGTAAGAAGGACAAGACAGAAATAACATCCAAGCTTACTTCGGTTACCGGCGTCACAACAATTCTGATATGACTATATGCGAATATGTGTGTATATATATGGAGTGCAAATGATATATTGCTTATGCTGTAAATGGTTAGTGATAAACCGTTCTCTACTCGTATAAAGAATGTCATCACTCGACTCGATATGGGTTTTTTCCCTCTTCTTCCATTACTAAGCTGTCTTTTCATCGATCATTGATCCTATTATTTATTTTTACATAGTAGAAAATATCACCATAATATATGTCGTACCAAAATACTTGATGAGAGAACGAGAAAAAAGAATGCTCTTTCTGTTCTATGGCAATAACAATCTCCTATAGAAGATAATCTGCAAGATTTTTCCACATACTGGCGAACAGCTTGGTCATACATATATTCAATAATCGGTTATTTATTTTTTTTTCTTTTTATTCTGTCGTCGT